TGTGTGTGTGTGTTGTGTGGTGTGTGTGTTGTGTGTGTGGTGTATGTGTGTGTGTGGTGTGTGTGTGTGTGTGTGTGGTGTGTGTGGTGTGTGTGTTGTGTGTGTGTATGTGGTGTGTTGTGTGGTGTGTGTTGTGTGTGTGTGGTGTATGTGTGTGTGTGTTGTGTGGTGTGTGTGGTGTGTGTTGTGTGTGTGTGGTGTATGTGTGTGTGTGTGTGTATGTGTTGTGTGTGTGGTGTGTGTGTGTGTTGTGTGTGTGTGTGGGGGGTGTGTGTGTGTTGTGTGGTGTGTGTGTGTGTGGGTGTGTGTGTGTGTGTGTGTGTTGGGATTTTTGTTGTTTTGTTGCTGTGGTTTGCTCTTTAATTGTTGCTGTGTACCATCAAACAGGATCCGACTGGTACAGGAGGCGATTGCCCCTCCATCTCCAGAGGAGCATCTGAGTTTGCCACTAATTCTTACTGCAGGACTGACAATGAGGTCAGTTATAGAAAAAAGGGTTTTCTTCCTTATTAACACCTGACATGGATTGAACTGTGTTCCCCAAAACAGACGTCAACTTGGCTGGGCCAGTATTGTTAGAACTCTGATTATCGTCCATTTTGTAATGCCATGTAATCATCCTACATGTGTAAACCCTCATCTCCGTGACGTTAATGAAGAGCCCTGACGGCACTGTAGGTTAGGTGTTGGGTTGCTAACTGAAAGGTCAGCAGTTCAGTTCCACTAACAGCACTGCAGGAGAACAACAGGCAGGCTCCTCTTGTGAAGATTTAAGGCCTCGGGAACTTGACGGAGAGTTGTCATGGGTGAACCAACTCCTGGGTTTATTTCTGTTTTAGAAACCTTAATGAGGAATGGTACAATCCACAGGAATGGGTTATATATTTGGGTCCATCGCATCTGAGATGGAAAAGAAATTAAATAAGCAGAGATCAGAGATCTCTCTCACGAAGAAAGAAGAATCAGGAGAAGAGTGTGTTTTCTGGATCCAGATCCCTTTGCTGAGAGACTCCCAGATGCAGGGGGGAATCTAATGGCACGATACTCAGAGGCCGTCAAGGGATGGTGGGCCCAGTGACGCTGGAAGGAGAGAAGGACTTCACTCCACAGCCCACAGGGAGCCCTGGATTTGGACTTCCAGCCTCCTAAACTGGGGAAAGGAGCTCTGGTGGCCTAGTGGTAAGAATCTGTGCTGCAGTCCTGAGGGCACGCAGTTCAAATCCACCAGGTGCTCTGCCAGAGAAGGATGGACAATCTCCTCCTGTGTGATTACCACCTCTGAAAACCTGTCAGAGGGTCAGCTATGGGTCAGTTCCGACTCCACGGTACACTACAACAACCACAACAAACTGTGGGAAAAGAAATGTATGCTCGTTAAAGCCATGCCTCTGCAGTGTTCCTGTTACAGTGTTGTTAAGAACCATCAAGTGGGAACCAACCCACAGCTGGCCCTGCAGGGAGTTTTCAGAGGCAGTAAATTGCACAGGGTGAGAGCGCTTATCTTTCTCCCACAGAGCAGTTTGTGGATTTGAACCATGTGGCTTAGGGCTGACAGTGCAGTTCCTTACCACTAGGCCACCAGAGCTCTCACCTGTTACAGCAGCACTAGTTAATGAAAGCAACCACCAAATGCTGCAATCCTAGAATTATGGACCAGAGCCCAAAGAGATGAGTTGAGGGAAGTGTCAACTTTCTCGTGTAAGGCCTCCTGCAAAGTGAGTCCTGGCTGCTTTATTAAACATGGGAGCCTAGTGCCACCTACTGACAAGAGATGGGAACTCTCAAATTGCTGAGTGTGGGAGCTCAGGACTTTAGCCTCTGAGGATATCCAGGTCAATCGGCCTAACATAGTCTACAAAGATACTGCTCTATTGCCCACTTTGGTGAGTCCTGTCTGGGATCTTGAAAGCTTCTGAGCAGCCAGCTAATGTGCAACTATTGATCTTTCCATATTTGGAGCAAAGAAGAGTGAAGAAAATCAAAGGCGAGATTAGGTCAAAGGATCAATGAAACACATGAACAGCAGTCCCCATGACTCTGAGATCAGAAAAACTAGAAGGTGCCCAACCCCCATGGCCGACTGCTCTGAAAGGGACCCCAGTACAAGGTCCCTGATAGAGTGGGAGGAAAATGTGGAACAAAACTGAAAATCATATTAAAGGCCTGGCTTGCTGGTCTGACAGACAGAGATGGGTGGGACGCCCAAGACTGTGGCCTTCAGTTACCATTCTGTTGACTCAACTTCCAGCCAGCCAGACCTGTAAGTGATTGATAACATCTAGGCAGAGTATATTCCTTATAACAATTAACTGTACACGCAAAAAGGCAGTATTAGCCCAGGGATAAAACTCAGAAGGCGATAAGGGATAGGAAAAGAGGGTAAATAGAGACAGGAAACACAGGAGGAAGCAGGCATTACATTTCAATGCCATGAAACACAATGTGTATTAATCAGTGTCCAGAAAGCCAATTTGCTCTGTAAACTTTCACTCAAATCACAATAAAAAAATGTATAAAAATCATGTTTTCATGAACCAAAAAAAGATAAAATGTTTAGATCAACAACAATCAACTCGATAGAGCTGCAGTTCAGTGGGTTACTTGATGTGGCTTTCCAAGACACGAGCTCTGGAACTCCCACCACATGAATGGCTGTTGTTGTTGTTAGGTGCCGCTGAGCTGAGCTGACTCACAGCAACCTGTTGAACAAATCGGAACCCTGTCCTGTCCTGTGCCATCCTCATTTGTACACGCTCGAGCCCACTGCAGCAGTCACTGTACCAATCGCTCTGGTCGAGCGTCCTTCTTTCACCCACCCTCCACCTTTCCAAGCATGATGTCCCTCCCCAAAGAACAGCCTCCCCTGGCAACATGCCCAAAGTACGTGAGACGAAGCTTTGTCAACTTTGCCTCCAAGGAGCACTCTGGCTGCACTTTCTCCGAGACTGTTTAATCCTTTGTCAATCCATGGAGTATTCAGTGTATGACTGGATAGAAATATGCAACTATAAGATATTTGTGGCTCACAAATGATAAGTTGCTAATGATATAAATTATTATTAATAATAATGATTAGAATGTGTAAAATGCCAGTGTGGAGATGGGCCAGCTTTGTTACCCCAGCAGGCTTAAACTGAGCCATTCTGGAAGCAGAAATGAGGAAGGAGAGAGCTCATCATCATCAAGGAGCCAGCACATCTTTGGATTATTCATGTAATGAATAATCAAACCCTGTAGGTAAATCGTGAGTGCCACGGGAGGGATGGTGGTGCTAGAACTGGTCGAAGAAGGGTCTGGCCCATGGGGTGGGGTGGGGTAGGTTGGGGTCTTGGATTATGTCCTACCTCCTAGAACTGACCTTGAGCCACTGCTGACAAGGAGTATTCTCCCCGCCTCTTGTGAAGTAGGAACAGACTGGCTGTCACTGCTCTCACGTCCACACCATTCTTTACAGGAGTTCAGGTCTTCTCTGACACAGAATCAACTGAGCGGTGGATGGTTCTTTATTTTTTTAAAGATCTGAACCACTGCTGTAAAAACTCACCACCTCCTGAACTGTCAGAATCCTCATCGTCTTCGCTGCTTTGCAAGATTATCTCCAGGGATTTGGTGTTTCTATCATACACCACGCAGTATCTGACGCACTCCAGATCCACAGACTCTGGGATAAGATACTGCTTGTCTTTCTAAGGAAACCATGAGAGAGGTTTGTGGGTGGGTAGGTGGGTGGGTGCTGGTCAGCAAACATTTCCCACACATAAACACCAGGAAGAGTTGAAAGACGGGACTATGCTCTTCCCCCAACTATACTCACAAGGCTTGGAACCACTAAGAAAGGAGACTGGAGTCTGTTCAACTTCAAGGATCTTCCACACTTACCTCCCTTTCTGAAAAGAGCTGATCACAGCTGACTGGGCCAGAGATACGTGGCCAACCGAAGAATAGCTGGTCTAAATGACAGTGTTATCAGAGCATCGGTGGCCAAGTGAACTAAGGAAACCCTCTCTTTCAGTAAGCAATAGAGGCCATATCCAAAATGAGCAGAAAGAGAACAGTAGGCAGGGGGCGTGATGAAAGAGAAGCCATGAGGCAGGAGCTGTGAGGAGGCTGAAATTTGAAATCTGAAATCCCAGCTCTGCAACAGCAGAGATTTCGGTCCTTTCTGGTGTCTGGCATCCAACGTTGCTGTTGTTAAGTGCCACTGAGCAGAGTATGACTCATAGAGACCCTATGAACCCTGATTTATCCTGGTCATCCCTACACTTACTGGTATAGCACTGATTGGCTAGTTTGCCAGACTGGTTGAGGGGCACAGAAGAGGGAGAGGGAAGGACTTGTGTGGTGCAGCTTACTTAATATTACTTTGTGTATGTATGTGCTTGCTTGTTCACTGTTTGCTCTTCTGAGCACAACGCTTGTCTGTCAGTTTACTGTACTAAGGTAGCTTGCTGGCTGCTGTGATCCTAGAGGCTGTCACTGGTACTTTAACACCACCAGGTCACCCGGGGTGGACAGCTTTCAGGGGAGCATCCATACTGAGACAGACTAAGAAGAAGTGGCCATCCACGTCTGAAATAGCCAGTCTTTGAAAACCCTATGAAAATACAGAGGCATCCAATAAACATGGTTAAATAACGAATGAGCAGACTAAAGTCATGAGATGCACGGGAGCTGGTGATGAGCCCCATCAAGAAGGAGCCATGGCATCATGAAGGGGGATCATAAATGTAGGAACAGCGGGTGCCTGCTGTTATGGTTGTTGTTGCTGTGGATTGCCTTCAAGTTGGCCTGAAGTCTTTCTATAACTATCGACATTTATCAAAGTTCATAGAGTTTCCAGAGGCATGTTCTTTAGGAATTGGATGCGACAAAATCTCACAGTGCTAATGAGAACAGAACCATACAGGTAGCTCGGTCCTCTAGGGGTCCTGGCTGGGTGGGGGCTAAACATCTAGTCTTCTTCACAATGCTTCCCACAAATACCCACAGCTCAGCAGAACTTGAGTCTGACTCTGTCCTTTGCAACTGCATCTGTCTGACAGAGGGAGGGACATCAGAGGACCCGCAGTTGGCATATGACAAACACTAGTCTACACCATTACAAGTCAGAGTAAGATAAGGACCAAAGGGTACAAGAAGGAAGCGGGAAGGGTGTGGGTTACATTGTGGGGATTGTAATTAATGCCATAAAACATGTACAAATGGCTGGATGGAAAACCAATTTGCTCTGTAAACTTTAACTCAAATCACCCTAAAAAAGAAAAGAAAAGAAACCTGCAATGTGGGCAAGGTTTGGGAGAGTGTTCCTGGCAGAAGGCACAGCTTCTGGCTTAGTCAGCAAATAAGAACTCAGTGTGTACCAGATATCTGGGATAAAATGATGGCAAAATGGGGGTAGAGTATAGCAGTAATGGGAGAGATTTTGCAACAATATTTTAGAATTAAGACTGGCAGCACAGCTAATTGGATATGGTGCTTACAGATGAAGCTGAATTGTTGTTAGGTGCCATCAAGTTGAGCAGGACTCTTCGTGACCCTATGAATAACAGATCTAAACCCTGTCCTGTCCTGTGCCGTCCTCACAACCTCTGACACACGTCAGCCCCTGGCTGCAGTCACTGTGTCAATCCACCTGGTTGAGGGTCTTCCTCTCTTTCACCATCTCTCCACCTTCCCAAGCATGACAGTCCTTCTCCTAACAATACGCCCTGAGTAGGTGAGATGAAACGTCATCCTCTTTGCCTCTAAGGAGCACTCTGGCTGCACCTTGTCCAAGACAGGTCTGGACTTTCTTCTGGCTGGGTGAGATCTCTGGGAACAGTGTACTGACAAGACTGCAAGGAGACAAAGCACAGAGCAGTGATCTCCTTTAGACAGAAAAAGGAGGAACTGAAATTGGGCCAAAGACATGGAGAAAACTCCAAGGAGCAAGAGAGAATCTCAAAGGTGGAAAGACTAACTGGGACTGCAGAAGCTGGAGATGGAAGTGAGCGAAAGCTATGGATACGGGGGGTTCCCACTGCAGGAGGGAGGGGTCTACAGTGAATGCAAACAAAGCTCTGTTTTTTAAAAAAGTTGTTAAAAAATGTTTTCTAATCCTTAAAAGAAAAAGAAAAAAAGCTGCAGGAACAGAGAAAGGAAGGTGGGGTGGGAAGGAGGGCAAGGGCCAAGCTTCCACCTTGGTGAGACCATGATCTCCATTGTTGAATGTTTCTGCCTGACTGGAACAGAAGCTCCATGAGGGCAGGGACTGTGACCTAAGGGCAGCTTCTGTTTTGCTGTACCCCTGGGGCCTGTGAGAGTGAGGAACTACACCAACATCTGCTGAGTGAAGCCACTGGCCGTGCTGTGGGCAGGAGACGGCGTAGGGAGCACGTGAGAAGAGCAGAAGATTAATGAGCTGGACACACTTAGGTGGACTCACACAATGAGGTGCCTCTGCTGCCCACGGGGGTCACCCACTGGGGATCAGTGCCACCTCCCAAATTCAGGACAAGACCTCCCGTTTGCTCCCATACAGCAGCTGGCCTTCCCCTGATGCTGTCTCACCAGAGTACCTGCTTCACTCGACGAGCCGTAATCAAATGGCTTTCATCATACTCCCGTTTGGACCGCACATCTGAAATGGAAAAGCATTTAGTTAATAATTGAATTTGCAAAGAAACACATGATGAAACCACTTAGAATACTCAGATCATCATAAACAGGCATTTGCTAGGTAATTAGGTGATTTACAGTCAGTTTAACACTTAGAGTGTGTGTGTAGGGAGCTCTGATGGCTTCGTGGTAAGGAGTTGTGCTGCCAACACATAAGCAAACTGTTTGAATCCACCAGCAGCTCCATGGAAGAAAGACGGGCAATCTCCACCCATGTGATTTACTGCCTCTGAAAACCCACTAAAGGGTCAGCTATGGGCCACACAACAACCATACACACACACAAGAAAAAAAGATGAGGACCCTAATCCTTGTTGTTGTGTACCACAGGGTCAGAACTGACCCACAGGTGGCCCTCCAGTGGTTTTCAGGAGCAGTTCATCTCATGGGAGGAGACTGCACATCCTTCCCCATGGAGCAAACTGCAGTGCAGCTTCTTGCCACTAGGCCCCCAGAGCTGGGAAATTAAAACAAAGGGCAACTGGGCCACATGAACTTCTACCTCCACGATCCTGAGAACAGAAGAACTAGGCGGTGTCCAGCTACCCCTGCTGACATTCCTAAAAAGGGTCACAGTAGAAAACCTTGCACAGAAGGCGGCGGGGGAAGGGGTGGGGGGAATGAGAACAAAACTGAAAATCACAGTGGCCAGTCTGCTAGAGACAAGTGGACCCTCCTAGACTATGGCTCTTTGAGCCTCGAACAAACCTCACCCCTATGGCTCAGCTTTCACTCACACTGGCCAAGATTATAAGGTCAGCGGTAACACCACTCAGACCTTAGGATAATAGATCATATTAAGATCTAACAGGTAGTATTTGCTGAGGGATAAAGCTAGAAGCAGGAAGGGATAGACTAGAAGGGTGAATGGAAACAAGAACCACAGGGAGGGATTAGGGAGAATGCTGTTATAATGCAGGGACTGTAATTAATGCAGTAAAGCAAAATCTATATCACTGATTGAAGGGAAAACCAATTGCTCTGTAAACTTTTAGTCAAAGAACAATTAAAAAAAAACAAAACAAAACCCTTCAATTCAACAAAATTATAATTCTAATTTTAAAATGAGCAAAAAAACCATGAATAGACATTTAACCAAAGAAATGAGTACAGCCACCTACATACAACTGATTTTCAACAAAGGGGTGAAAACACAGGAAAGGATTTTGCAATCATTAACCATTACAGAGATGAAACTAAGAATTACGCTGAGAGATCCTTTCACCCCTACTAAAATGGTGGTGCTTGTTGTATGTACAATCAAGTTAGAATCGACTGACTTAGCTGACCCTCCAGCAGGTTTTCAGAAGTAAATCAAATAGACGGAGACTGCCCACCATTCTCAGAGCAGCTGGTGGATGCAAACCGTGTTCCTTGGGTTGGCAGTGCAACTCCACACCATTTGGCCACCACAGCTCCATACAGAAATGTACTAATTAAAAAACAACAAACATAAATGTTGGCAAATATGTGGAGACTGGAACCCTTATACACTGCTGATGGGAATGTAAAATGGTATAACTGTCATGGAAAACTGTATAAGGAATTCTCAAAATAAACTAATAACAGAACTGCCTTATAAGCCAGCAATCCCATTCCTACATATAGACTTAAGACCTAATAGAAGTGATCAAGACAGACACCTGCAGCCCTATGTTCACTGCAGCACCATTCATGATGCCAAACAGATGAAAAAGACTTCAGCAACCATCAGCAAATGGGAAGATAAAATGTGTTCTATACATTTAACTTTGAATTGCAGCATTGGTGAAGAGCAGTGAATATACAGGAACTGACAAAAGAACAAGCAAATCTGTCTTGGAAGACATGCAGCCAGAGTGCTCCCTGGAAGCAAGGATGGTGAGAGTGTGCTCACGGGCTTTGAGCACGTGTTATCAGGAGGGGCCCTGGCTTTCTAGCAGCTAGCTAAGACTAGTTTCTTCTTGAAATCTCTACTTATCCAGAGGCAGGGAGGAAAGGAACAAACAAAAGATTTCAAGAAGAAACTAGTCTACAGAACTAACAGTCTATGCCAGCTACAGCCTCACCCACTTTGAGCCCAAAGAACTAGATGGTTTCACTACAGATGGTCCCAGAGAGAACAAGACCGAAATGTAGAAAACTCAGGATCTTAAAAAAGGTCAGGCTTACCAGACTGCTTGAGTCTAGAAGAAATCCTGAGACTATCATCCTAAATGGGATGTCAGAACCCTTGAAAATTGGCTTTTCTAGCCATTGCAGTAGCCCTGTTGTGGGGCATGGTCTCCAGCTGCCTTAACTGAAGACACAGTCTTGTAAATCATCAACAGCTGTGGGACCAATATAAGATAGTGCGTTCCACACTGTGTGAAACAGCTTGGGGGGCGGGGGGTAGACTGTGAAGACACTGTGAATGATGGTGGTGCAGAGCTGGTGAATAGACTATGGTATAACCACAGATAAAAAAACTCACTTGTAACTGCTCTGAGATAGTTTGCTGGGATAGTTTGATTAAGGAAACCAGAGGCTTCTTGCATTTGTATTGCTGCACTGAACCTGGCCTTTTCACTATTAAGCAATTATGTCTTGCTGTTAATCTGCCTTGGAACTGCTGGACTTGAATTGGTACCTCCCTTCTAGATTTATTAATTATTTTGTCCTTTCTAGATTTAATCTGGAACAATTTCCAAATCATGTTACAGTCAAGAGGCAGCTTTTAGAGGTATGCCTAATAAGTCAAGCAGTTTTTAAAGTCACTCATTTCTTCCAAGTTTATTAATAAGTTAAAAATAATACTTGAAGGACACTGTCCACAGCAAACACACACTGAAGGGGGGAAGAAAAAAAAACACACCCTATACTTACCCAGTAAACAGAGATAGTTGGGTTCAGTTAATCTGGACAGTTTTGTGGCTTGATTCAAGATGTTATAAAGTTCTGTTGGTTCACACAAAACCAATTCACTCATCCTACTGGGAAGAATGTACAAGCTTAATAGACTCCTTCCTATTTTAAATTAATGCTACAAAGTAAACTATTCTGTTAGGCTCATTTGTAACTCACTTTACACAAAATGAAAATAATTTTAGTAATCAAGAGAGAGGACCCTTCAAAAAATTTGTAGTGAAATATGTATAGGGGGAACTATTGCACACATCTTAACAAATATACAAATAATAAGCAGGCTTTAAAGACAGCCAATATTTCCCTTTCTTTATTTAGTAAATACCCTAAACTCACTGTCACCAAGTTGATCCCAACCCATGGAGATCCTTTATTAAGTTTATGACTCTGTAAATGTTAATTGAAGAAATGATCTCATCTTTCTCTCTCTGGGTGGCTGGTGGGTTTGAACCACTGATCTTTCAATGAGCAGCCCAATACCTTCTCACCAGCAGAGCTCTGGAAAGAACTATAGTAAGCCTCATGAAGCATATGGTCTAGCACAGAATAGAGACATTGAGCAAAAAACACTACAAATTAGTAGGTACCAGATGTCAAGGGAGTGGAGAACTGGAGGACCTTGGCCAGTTGGGGAAATCAGAAAAGGACTCTCAGAGGATGTGACTGCTGAGGTGAGACAGAAGGCCAGGCAAAATTTACCCAGGCGGAGAACAGAGGGTGAAGAAGACAAGAACATTCTCTCTAGATACAGAGACCTGAGGCAGGAGAAATCTCAGTACGTAACAGAGATAAGAGATGGCTGTAAGTTAAAAGGAAAATAGTGAGTGGAGACACTGGAGAACAGCATCCCTTGTGAAGAGTCTCATGAACTATCAGACTCTGACAGCCAAGGAAGGGTTTAGAACTGCTGTCCAATGGACAGATGTGTCTACTACTCTTGAGAATCTACTCCCATCTCTGGTGCCCAGTGGACACATGCTGATGATGGGTAGGAGTGAGCCCTGCTGGAGCTTCCTGGGGGCTGCAGAGCAGATCATGGCCTCTGGAAGCCAGCCGAGGGTGGGGCTGGAGCAAAGAAGTCAAGTGCAGGGATAATCCTGCTTCAGTCAGGTTCCCACTCAAAGCCACCAGTGTTTGCTCTCGGGAAAGGTGGGGTCCTTGAGTCAGTCTCACCTTCTCCAACACTTCACGGCTGCAGTTCTCAACCTCAATTCCTCTCATCTCCAACTTGAACTGTTCTCATCAGCACACAAACTCTCTCTGCTGACCTTTCCAGCAAAGTGTTTCAAATGGATTGTGTTCAGTCACTATTTGCATCTTTTCACCTCAATACTGAGGGCAAAAATGCTGATTCTGGAAGAGATATGCTTTGCTCTGTATACCTGTCATCCTACTTGTATGTAGCTCCATTTTTCTTTTTCTAGTAAATTCCTTGCTTGTATGTGGGGAAGGGGGAGAATGCTGATTCTAGAGTCAACTCTCTAGACTGGAATATTAGTTCTGCCACCTATTATCAACTGACTGATCCAAATCACCCCTGAATGAGAACCCCCCCACCCAGGATAGTGACTGTGTGATTCATCTAGTCCTGTGAATACCTTTATATTTTTTTATATTTTGTTTTTGTTTTAATACCTTTAAATGTGGATGACTCCCAAGTCTTAGCCCATCTTGACCCTCAATGAGCTCAGGGTCCACTTGGATATCTGATGGGCATCTCAGCTATATCATGGCCAAAAGAGAACTCTTCATCCTCACACGACGCACAATTATCTACATAATGCCGATTCTTCGTTCCTTCAACCCTTCTCCAGTTTATTCATTCTACCACCGAAGTGTATTCCAAACCCACCGATTTTTCCTCTCCAGAGTGACCAGCCTAGACCAAAGTGCTGTCCTCTGATGATGTCATACTTCTCAATGGGACTTCGTGCTTCTCTACTCTCTATCATGGGGCAGCCAGAGAGATCTCCTTAAAGAAGAGAGACAGCCTGTCTACTCAGGTCTTCTGAGGGCTTCCCACCGCACTCTGGATAAAACACAGAATCCTCCACAGGAAGTTTAGGGCCCGGCCTTCTTCTCTGATCTCGTCTTGCACTATAGCCGCTGTGCAGTCCCACCCAACCTCCTCTTTCTTACACAGCAAGCTCCTTCCTGGCTTTGGGGAGGGTCTTTATTCTTACACTTGTCTCTCTCTGGTAGGCTACCCACTCAGATCTGGGTATAGTCATTTCCCTTGTGCCATTCTCAATTAGCTCAGTGTTGCTTTACTTGGAGGGCCTCTCAACCTGAAGAGGCCTACCAAGACCCTAAAGAGAACCCCTGCAACTAACCCTAACCTTATCCCAACCTAGAGACCTCCCAGCCCGGGCTCCCTATCTCATCAACCTGTCTCTGTGTCTTCTCAGACATTGGAAGTGGTTTGCTCAGCTGTTCACTAGTTAGGCTCCTCTCACTGGAACCCCTGGCTCCTCAGAGCAAGACCCCTTCCTGTCTTGTTCACTACTATGGCCCCACTGATTGTCCAGGATCTGCCTGGTGCAAAGTAGTGCCCAGTCGACACTTGCTGAATGGACATGTTCTTGTTAGTTAGCATGCGTGTCTTCTCCGGTGATGCCATCTTGACTGGCTGCTTTATTTTTTCAGAGTGCAGATTCCTCCTCAGTACCTCCCCAACCCTACCTCTAGCCAAGTCCCAGTCTTTTGCCTCTGAAAATCCTGTTCCCAAAACAGGTGGTGACAGTAAGGACAGGGAATACCACCCCAACTTTGTGTCTAGTCCCATGACTTTTTCAAGCCAACCAAAAGCAGGCTCCTGATTGACCTGACCTATGATGGCGACCGCCCTCAGTCCCCACCTCCTCTCCCCATTACTGCCTCCTTCTGCCCCTCGACTAACCCAGGATGCTGAAGCTACCTCAGGACTTCCTTGGTAAACAAGCCAGCTCCAGTGATCTTCCCCTTCAGAGCCCCTCCTCTCCCAAGTGGACACTCTCCCTGATCAAACAAGAAGTGCACCCCACCTGCTGGTCAAGTGAGGAAGCTGTGGGAGTGGCCCTAACCGGTGGTTCTGATTCTCCAGGGCAAGGCTAGCCTGGGGGGGGGGGGGGGGACTGGGAACCAGCCCGCCTCGTGCCTCTCTAGAGTTGAAGAGGATCCTCATATAGTCACCATTTTGGCCCTAAGAATATTCTGACTGTGTGCTTTTCTAAAGTAATCATAAAATGAGAATAAACTAATATCAAGTGTTTGCCCAAAAGCATTTTCCTCAATGATTCTTTTTCTGTTTCATAGTTAACCAAGTCCATTCTTTTTTCCACTTTTAATTTTGCTTTCCCAAAACTGTTTTTCCCAACATGGCCTTTCCAGCATGATTTATACCACAACTCTTTGGCTCTTTAATGATATTTTTATCATATACCTTATTCAGCAGGGTATAGTCTGCTGTGAGATTTGTATTAATTCTTTCTAATCAGTCATACTTTTCTGCTGACCTGCTGAAAACAATGGTGTCACAAGGGCAGGGTTAAATATCCTGTTTAAGACCTTGTCTGCACAGCACAGTTCCTGAACTTGTTAATGAGACTGAGCTGTCCCAGGACATTTGGGTGGCAGTTAATTGGTGGTGGAGGAGGGTTGGAAGGGCAATTCGATTAGAGTGAGCAACATGGCTTGATGAGGGTGAGAGGGGCGGAACTTCCTATCAATTGATTGTTCTGGGAAACTGACTCAGCTTTTAAAGTGCAAAGCAAAGCCATTTCCTCACTGTCAGCAAAGGGGGCTGTCCGCAGAGACCTTGTCACTGCCCAATGCTGTCCTGGTAACCCACCACCTTCCTTGTGATCAAATGGCCTAAATGGCGGAATCAGAAGCTCAGGTGGGCTTTCTCCCAGTGCAGCCCAGAGTAATGAGGGCGGCGAGCTCACCTCCAGAGAGAGCATGTTCACATTTGGGGAAAAGTCACCGGGAAGTGATGTTCACCAGGGATTGCTGCAGCAAGACACTTAGGGTGGGGTGGGGGGACTAGCCGGGTCCAGGGCTCCTTCCTGTATGACCAAACCCTGAGGCCTTCTCTCCTGACCAACAGCAGAGCTGACAGAGTCTGGGGCCAAGCTGACCATTGGCCTGTCTCGTGATAGTCCTGGTGTCCAGGGCTCAGCTGCAAACTTCCCTAAGCCCCCAGACAATCTGAGTGGGACTCTACTTCAAGGAAGGAGAGGCACTGCTCATTGGTCCTGGAAGAAACAGACAATAAGCTGCTCAGGTTCAGTCTGGACAGGGACCCACACAAGAACACAGGTACAAGCCTGGGGGAGAGGGATTTCCAGTGCCCACAGCCACCTCCTCCAATGCCGCGGCTCTCTGTGGGGGACTCAGCCAGTGCAGGATCACCAAGGCTTCAGCATCAGTCAGCTGAGGCCGCAATGCTCCTGGAAAAGACTGTCAGCTAGCTTCAGTGCCATAAAGCCAGTTGTGGTTGTGCCGACGCCAGACGTACAGTGGAGTCAGAGCCACCACATGGGTCAGAGCGGAACCACCCTCCATTGGGGGCTTTTCAGGACTAAATTCCTCAGAGGACCCTCGACCAGATGGACTGACAAAGGCTGCAGCAATGGGCGCAAGTGTGGCGGAAATGATGAGGACAGCACAGGATAGGACAGGGCTCAGATCTGCTGTTCATAGAGTCGCTGTGAATCATACTCAACTCGACGGCACCTCACAACTTCTCAGAAGTAGACCACCTGGCCTTTCCTGTGCGGTGTCGCAGGGTGGACAGTCAGCAGCCAAGGGCATTAGTCATTTGTACCCATGCAGGGACTCCTTTGTTGGAGGTGACTGATGAATCGCCCACCACAGGGCCGGCAAACAGCAAGCACTTAGGAGGTAAGGCTTCTTCCCTCCACCCTCTCTCTCCCTTTCAAACCTCACCTAGAGTCTTCTGAAAGCTACAGACCAGACAAAAGGCGCTCTTCAGAGAATCTGGACCGAAGCAGGAGCTGGCTCGACCTAGAAGATCTAAGAGCCTCAGGGGGGAGAGCTGAAGGGACTGGTTGGTCTTTGCTT